TCAGTATGTCCGTCCGGCCGGCCGTATACACGATAACTTTCGAAAGGAGAGTCCGATCACGATGAAATTTTCTACACAGTTCAGTCTTGAGAATGTCTCGGTCGAGTTCGAAGATGAGCAGGATCTGTCAAGAGATGGCTGAGTTATCGAAAAAATTGTCGTTATTAAGAAGACCATCCCAGAAGGGGGATACAGGGATTTTTTCAAAAAAAATTTTTTTTCTCCGAATTATTCGCAATATATATGAATCGAGTCAGTTTTTAATGCTGATTCCGAATCTGATATTAGTGTTGAACCAAATCGTAGCTTTCTAACAAAACATCCCCCGAAAAAGGTCTTAAAATGCAGAAAAACTACATGAAGAAAGCAAATAGTCTCGATATATCTCAGATGATAAAAAACAAAGTGAATATACCTTTTCACTTTTTGAAGTACACATAACACTCGGATTTAAATCCGATGTTTTCGCATTTATTAACATTTTAAAATACTTTTTATAAACTTAGTTTAATGTCTTCAGTATACGTTTTAATTGATTTGATTTTCTATGATATAAATTTTGTAAGATATTTAATCGATCATTATATTTTCTTTTTAGGACAAGTACGTAAATGAAGAAAAAAAGAAAAGTAAACGAAAATCATACAGAGCAATTGTGGATGAATGTCCATTAACATTTGATGGAACATATGGTCTTACTAAATCAAATCATTCAATTGAATTTTGTGAATATGAAAAAGATTGTCGAGTCTTACTTTATAATCATTTCATTAGAAAACATAAATTAAAAGAAGTTTGTACTCAATGTTTAACAGAAGCTATTGCTGATAATCTTGATCCAAGAACAACAAAATTATTTAATGAAAATGAAAGTATAATTGATTATCTTTGAAAAGTTCCATGTCCTTTTATAAACGAATCAATTTGATTTATCAGAATATCGTCAAAAACATACAAAAAATATTCCATGTTCACATAAATTAGTTCGACTTGATCATTTAAAAAATCATTTACGATGTCATCATCGGTTCATATTCAAATGTTCTTAGTAGGACTGATGAGAAAAGAGAACGAACTGATCAATCGCTTTTTAGTTGAAACTATGTGCATTACATGTTGATATATATGAGCTAGGAGCATCGTGAAACAGTTCAGGCCGCTAGACCATTATTATGGAAATATTGTACTTTTAAAATAAATGTCATGAGAAACATCATAAAAAAGTGATTTTTAAATTTCTAATTTAAACTTTATAAAGAAACAGATCTTATTAAGCATAGAACTTTATGATGCTTTTATCTATAGTTGCAATTAAGATAACTTCGTTCGGATATGCAACATAATCTGAAATCTTTACAAAATTCTAGGCTCAGTAAGACTTGTTTATGCATAAAATTTCAGGCAGAAATTTAAAAATCAGTTTTTTTTTATGGTCCTTATGATACTTATCATAAAAGTTCAGTATCTCTCTAGCAATGAGCCAATAGCTCGACTCTTTTTGTGTACTCAAAAAGTAAGTACCCTCTAGAATCGGTCAGTATTTTCTGCCGTTTACACGATAAATTTCGAAAGGAA